CCCTGGTGGTCCAGTGGCTGCAGGGCGGGCGGCGCTGGCAGGCGGGCGGCCGGTGAGGGAGCACTTCCTATGAGCTGACTGCTCAGCTCCCTCGCGCGTCGGCTGCAGAGTGAGGCTGGGAACCAGAAGATGACATCATCTTCCGGCTCCCAGCCTCACTCTGCGGCGCGCGAGGGAGCTAAGCAGTCAGCTCATGGGAAGAGCTCCCTCGCCGGCCGCCCGCCTGCCAGCGCCGCCCGCCCGCTCTGGATGTCAGTTAGCCGCGAGGCTAACAAGGCATCTGCCCTGGGCATTTGGGGGGGCGGCGTTTTTTGCCGCCCCCTGAAAAATGCCGCCCAAGGCAAATGCCTTGTTTGCCTCGCGGCTAATACGTCCCTGACCACAATACACACACTGCCCCCTTACCATGGGCGTCCGCAGAAATTTTTCGAGGGGGGCATAATTGTAATGACATCCATGCTTGGTCCCTTTTTGACAGTGTCATGAAAGGGAAGGGGCATAGTCATTATCACATACAGCCAGGGTGAATAGTGTTTTCACAACTATGGTGTCAGGAATACGTTCGTATTCCTGACACTATAGTGTTCCTTTAAGCAAATTAAAGGAACATTCTGGTCACCATAACAACTTAATCTAAATGAAAATGCTATGATGCCAGGAAGCCCCTGGGTGCTCTTTCCTTTAAAGGGTTAAACCGCTCGCAAATGGTTTAATCCCAAAGGCTTCCTCCAGCTCCAGATCTCTAGGTCGCTCAGTGGTATTCGGCTTCTGAAACGGACGTCAGGCATGGGTGCTGCAGATGGGCTAAAGTGGTCAGTTGACGCTCTAAGCCAATTGCTAGTTCCCGGTTCATAAAAATGTTTTACTTTTTTATGAATGGGGAGCTACTGATTGGTTTAGAGTGGCAGCTGACCGCTCTAGCCAATCAGTGACACCCCTACCCAGCGGCACTCTGTGCTTCCTGACACTCAGTAAATAAAAGTGAACACATTAACACTGATATTTTTTTTTACCTGGGGAGATGAGAAGGTCCAAAGTTTCTCTGCCAGGCCCAGGTGCTAAAGCCTTATGATGTGGTGGTGTCCAGAATAAAGTGGATGGTTCACTTCACTTGTCCTTCCTGCTCCAATCTCCATTTCTTCTCCTTCATTTGACACTGTCTTCTGTCCTCCTTGGCTCCCTTTGCTCCTTTACCTTTCTGCTACTTTCTGCTTATTTTGCACCCTTCTGCTTCTTTCTCTTTCTGATCCCTTTCTGATCCTTGCAGACCCTTCCTGCTCCTTGCAGACCCTTCCTGCTCCTTGCTGTCCCTTCCTGCTCATTTCTGTTCCTTTGTGCTCCTTTTCCTACTTTACCTTTTGTGCTCCTTGCTGTCCCTTCCAGCTCCTTGCTGCCCCTTTCTGCTCCTTGATATCCCTTCCTGCTTATTTCTGTTCCTTCTACTTTCTGCTCTTTCTCTTACTTTACCTTCCTGCTCCTTGCTGACCCTTCCTGTAGGCTGCCTTCACCCCATCCCTCACTTACCTGATCTATAGGCTGTCTCCCCCATGTCTCACTTCCCTGATCTATAGGCTGCCCCCCCATATCTCACTTCCCTGATCTATAGGCTGCCCCCAATGTTTCACTTCCCTGATCTATAGGCTGCCCCCCATGTCCCACTTCCCTGATCTATAGGCTGCCCCCATGTCTTACTTCCCTGATCTATAGGCTGCCCTCCATGTCTCACTTTCATGATCTATAGGCTGCCCCCATGTCTCACTTCCTGATCTATAGGCTACCCCCATGTCTCACTTCCCTGATCTATAGGCTACCTCCCATGTCTCACTTCCCTGATCTATAGGCCATCTCCCCCCCTCCCTACTTACCTGATCTGTAGTCTGTCTTTGCAGGCTAGGAGATGTAGCTTCCTATCCCTGCCTTTCTCCACACACAGCGCCTACTGGCCATCGCCGGTATTGCACCGTATTTTCAATCTCACACAAAAAATAGAACAAACTGAAAAATCCAGGGTGGGGTGGGGCAAGTGCCTTCTCTTTCCCCCCCATGCGGATGCCCATGCCCCTTACACATACTGCCCCCAATACACACCATGCCCCCAATACACACACACATTCACCCCTCATACACACTGACCCCCCATGCACACACTGCACTCCTCAAACAAGAAAACACTGCCCCTCTTATACATACACTGCGCCACTTACACACAAACACACTGCTTCTAAAGCACACACTGCCCTCAATACACACACTGCCCTTCCATACACACACTGCCCCCTTACACACACACACTGCACCCCACACACAAATACACTGCCCCATACACAAACTGCACCCGTCACACATGAACATGCTGCTCCCAATATACACATTACTCCCCTATACATACACTGCACCCCACTCACACATGCACTGCCCCCACACACACACACTTCCCCTCTATACAGATACTGTGACCTTCACACACACACTGCCCCCCATACACACTACTGCCCCTATCCTAGCAGACTCCAGGTCAGTTATAAAACTGTTTTTTAAATGGTTTGACTACTTACTCTGGGAGGGGGCCACGACACTCCTGGCACCATAACTACTACAGAGAGCTGTAGTGGTTATTGTGCCTGGATTGTTTCTTTAAATAATCTGCCAGTGCCCCTCCCGAGATTAGGTTCTGGATCCGCCTCTGGTACCACATTTAACAGTTTACATCAAAATGGAAACACTGTGGCTAAAATAGTTAATTTGAGACAATTATCACACTTTGCTGTAATCACAGCTTGGCTATTTTAGCCTTCATCTTTTCATTTTCATCTAATTGGATAAAATTCTGTGTTTAGTGGATAATATTAGGAAAACACAGCCAGAAATGATAAGACAAGGAGTACTCTGTGCTTGTATAAGTCTACAGCAACAGCATGTTTTAATAGTAGACACCATTACAATGATGCAGTTACTGTATTCATAAAACCATGGGGGTCATTACAGATCCATTAATGGCAATATTAACTGAGACAATCTTAAAATGACCATCTAGTCCTCTAAAGCACTTAAGCTTACTGAAATGCTAAGAGTGTGTCCTCATTTTTTCCATTTTACAAAAAGTGCAGATTTCAATAGAAAATGTCATTTTTTTTATAAATGAATTTTGTTACACTGCCCAGCTGTCAATCAGACAACTGGCCCTGTTACTTCCTGGTTTGGTTAGCTCAGTGGAGGCAAGATAACTTGGGACATTTAATTATGTTTATTTACACACTTTTCATGCAGCTTCTTTAGAAAAACTCTTAAAAAAAAAGTAAGCAGTAACGTTACTTTGTTATGAGTGGTTTTCCTGCACATAAAACAAGCAACTGCAAAAATTACCTCAAACAGTATTCAGATATATTAGTGCTTTTTTGTTTTTTTTGTAAGTATTCAGATATGTTTCCGATTTCAGTAAACTGTTTGCCACCCTTTAAGTAATTTTTAAACACTTCTCGAGAGGTGTGAATTGTTATTCTTGTTTTGCAGTAAGGCTCAGTACAATCTAGCAATCTCTATAGGGTTACTACAACCATCACGACCTCTTCGTTAAATTGCAGTAATCATGGGGGTAGGAGCATGTATGAGCAGTGTTTAAGCTTGAAATACTGCATTCAGATATATTGTTAATTGTGTGCTGAGGGTTAGTTGCACCACCAGCACACGTGACTTTTGCAGTCCAGAACTCCGGAGCCTAATGTCAATTCTGTGCATATTTTACATCTGTTGACAGCTCGCCTATCACACTGCCAACAGACATAAAAATCTTCTACCAGCAAGGGAAAGATAGCTACCCCTCTCTCTCTTCCTCCCAGTGTGCGCTCACTTCTGCCTCCCTCCACTATTATCAGAAGTACCAAAGCACCCCCATTGTATATAGACAAGCCATTTTAGAATTGCTTGACATCTCACCCGGGGGTCCACCTGGTGCTGCTCCTTGCCCCTACTACTAATTATGAAGTGC